CTATATATATAGTTACTGTTACTATTATTATAGCAGTAATAATCATAATTATAGTAATATATAATTATAGTTACAAATACCAAACATTTTTCTTTCAGTGTACATTACAGAAATGGCACAAACAGGTATTTAAAAAGGGTTGAAATGGAAAGCTCAAAAATACGTCAAAGAACGAAACGGCAAAAGCGGAAAATAGAATTGAAGAGAGACAGGATTTGTGAATATTTCAGGCGTGCTAGAAAAGCGCAGAGGAACGAGTGGAGAGAGGATATTTTTCGAGGCGCCTTCGTAATTGGCGAGTTGAATCATTGATTAGCTGGCAGGCAGACGGCTTATGCCGGGCCTCTGCCATACCACCACCTCTGCCAACCCCCCTATCTTCCCGACTGCCACCCTACCAGTCGGTGTGGAGGGTAAGACCTAATGTAGCCTAAGATATTACTCTGCCAGATTAAAACTCGCCAAGTGGCAGAAACGGCCGTCCTCGTAATAATGCAGAAATTTAATTAGTCCGCCGACAACGTGTTTTCACACTTTCGCCATTCCGACGCGGACTTTTCAGCCAAGCAAGCCCAATCGCGTAACAATTTCGTTAAATGATAATGAATCCTCTTGGCAAACATCGTCTTCATCCTTTATTGCATCCACCAGCTTACAAGATAGCAACGTCTTTTTCGACATACTAAAAAAGTTTATATAATATGAATCGCCCCAAAGTAAAAAAATGTAACTTATAAAACAGATTTCTTTAATTAGAAAATTTTGTAAATGTAATGAAAGACTTCTTAAGAATGTTATAAAATAATAGTTATATTTTATTTTTCTGTAAAAATTATGTAACGCTTACAACTTTTTTAATAACAAGACAAAAACACTCTAGAAAAACAATAAGCACATATTAACTAACAGATCTTCGCAGCAATCAATACATTAATTGACTTTTCTCAAGAAAGCTTACGAGGCAAAACGTCACGATGCTAACCTTGTAATCGCCCTGAGTACGATAACGAACCTGAGTACGATAACGAATTTGATAACGTTAAAATCCCGGAACTCGATAACCGCGTTATTCCAACGCGCGGTTCTTCTTGCGGTCCCCAGCCGAGCCGCGAAAATATTATGTTACACCTCCGAGGAATCGGGAAAAGTTTCGCGAGCGGCAGTGGCGGCGGCGGCGGCGAGCAAAATAAGATCCGGAAGAAAGTGGAGAGGCTGGTCGTGGCGTTCAAACGAGTTGCCAAGAAGTTTCATCGAAGAATGGAAACTCTCGTCGCCCATCGTCGAACGGGGCTCTACCACAACCCTCTTCTTCTCTCGACTTCATCCCATCGTATAACCAACCGCAACCCTTCGCCTAGCGCAACAATCCGCAACGCCCCTTCGTGGCCCCCAATCGGACCGAAGTGCCACGAAATAAAACTTGTTTTCGACAGGCTGGGAATTTCATTTGCCTCCACTGTGCGTGTTCCCGCAAACGCACCAAGGACACGTCCGAGTCGCGATTCAATCAAATCGATCGGCCGGGTCTGATAGTGAATGCGCGTAGAACGTGTTGGAGAACATCGCAAGAATGGCTGCTCTTTTGGGGAATTATTTTATAGGATTACGTAACGGCTACGATAAGAGGGTGACCCATCGAAGGGTCTTACAAAAAGATGGCATTATCATGTATTGTGAACAAGTCAATGGTATCGT